GTTTCCTTTCCGAAAAATGCCAATTGAAGGCATGCCAAGCGAAGAGCTAGGCTATAAACAAAATCGACAAGCTCACAAAAGAACAAACGTATGCACCGGAGTAGCGGGGTCGATGTCGGGCGGTGGCAAAAACAAAAAGTAGAAAACAATAGGCAAACAGCTCATGCACCGGTGTCGAGTTCGAGCGGCGGAAAAAACAAAAGTGTCAAAAGCAATGAAAAACAGGGCATAGCGGTGTTGACTTCGGGCGGTGCCAATAAATCACACAGGGAAAAAAAAGCACAAACATCACGCGACACACGACGTACCTCCAGCACATAACGGTCTCGCTTGTGACCGCCGGCGTGCAAGGCGTACCCGGAGTACGATGCACACGCACCGTAGGCCGCGGCGGGGACAGCACCTGCCGCCGCCGACGACGACGCTGCGGCTCCGTGTTCCGTCGCCGTTCCCGTAGCGGTTCTCGAGATCGTCGGCCACGCGGAGAGGTGGGGCGGGCAACCGCGACCATGCCCAGCGAACCCAAACGCCGAAGGCACCGGGCCGCTCTCCAGTCTCTCTCTCAGGCTAGCGAGCATCGGACACGAGGGCTGCTCTCCGATCGTCCAGGAGGCGGCGCCGGTCTTGTCCGCCCCCTCGCGGGTACCAGAAGAAGACGACCACGACAGAGCCGAGCTCCAGGCCGGCAGCGTCCAGTCGGCGGGTGAGATGGCGGGCACGCTACCACCGCGGGAAAACCTGCCGCCGACCTTGGAAGTATCGGTGGAGGAGGCGTCGATTGTGCACGCTCCGGTCGATGAAGGGGTGTAGGGGGAGAACCCAGCTCCAGCGTTCCCGGTCACCGCCACCCGCGCGACCACCACCGGCCGCACCGTCACTGTTAACACCGCCGCCGGGACCGCCGTCACCGTCTCCCAGCAGGCTGCAAGTGGTCCGTGGATGGTGCCGAAAGCGCCGAGCTCGCGGGAAGGGTCGAAAGGTCCGCACATAGCCTCCGAGACCCACCGCGCCGCGACCGATCGCTTGGAGGCGGACATCCGGCGGCACCACACAGTCCCGATTGCACCCGACGAGCCAGAGAACACGCCGGCCGTCGACGGGAGGATGAGGAGCTGCTGCGGCAGGGATAGCACCGTCTTCGTTCCCCCGCCGGCGGTTGCGCTGCTCAGGCCGAGGAGGAGGAGGGGGCACGTGCTGAAAACCCGCGATGCCAAACCGGCGGCGGCGGCGGCGGCGGCGGGGGTGGAGAGGACGATGGCGCCGTCGGCCCCGGCGCATCCACGCACGAGCGCGAGCGGCGGCGGCATTACCGCGGGGAACGTCGACGGAAAACGAAGCTGGGCGAAGATTCCGCCGCCGACGCTGATTCTGGTCATGCTGCTCCGCCCGGTCCATCCTCCCCGCAGGAAGATGCGCTGGGCAATGGGGCGGGGAATACCACCCAGCTGCTGCTGGGGAACGGACCGGCTGGATATCCTTGAGTACAACCGAAGGGCTGACTGCACGGAATCGACGCGTACTCGACGACCACCAGGAAGCTACAGCAGGAAGGGGCCGCAACCCACCAGCCACTGCTGTTGTTGATATTGCAGATGTCGCGCCTCCGGGGTTCTGCGACAGCCAGCTCCTGGCCGTCGTCATCGTCCCTGCAGGGGCAGGGAAGTGAGGGATCCCCCGCATTGTTTTCGTCAGTGTGATGGTCACGGGAAGAACAAACAACGACACACAGTACTACTGTAGTTCAAGACGGACATGGTGGAACATGATGTAAGCAGGAGAAAAACGATAATTGGTCAATATATACAAAACGTTCGTCATTCGTGCTCATTCCATCATGTTTCCATACATTTCACACCCGTGACCATCGCGCTGACGAAACAAATCCGGGAATTCTCCCCGCCCCCCCCCTTCCCGCCCTTGCAGGGACAATGACAACGATGAACCCGCTGTCGTAGAACCCCAGAGGCGCGACGTCTCCGTGTTCAATCGTAATATTCCCCACGTGAACAACACGATGAGGAACAACAGCAGTAGCATTTTGCGCAGCAGTAGCAATTTGCAGCACCTAATGCTCCTGCTGTTGTTGATCATATCGTTCACGTGGAAAATATTGCTGTTGGAACATGGAAACGTCGCGCCGCTGGCGTTCTACCACAGCCAGCTCCTGGCCTTGGGCGGGTTCATCGTGGTCCTTGTCCCTGCCTGCAGGGGCGGGAACGGGGGGGGGGGGG